TCCAAACCGTGATGGGATGGGCTTCAGGTTTTCTGCATGTGATGACTGCGAGCTTGCAGTTGTGGGTGGGAGAAAGGGAGATTTTTGTGCTCTACGTGTTGTGGGACTGAATAAGCTTGAATTCATAGATAGCTAAAACAATGCCATTCCTAGACTGAACCATATTTTTCTTCTCATCGGAAACATAGAAATATTTTTTCCTCATAGGACACTGACCACACCACACATAGGAGACTGACCACACCACACATAGGACACTGTAACCTATGTTTTGGGGTTTTTTTTTAGGTTTCCTCACAACCAACAAAAAAAGACTCAGGCAGTTTTGTTATGATGACTGCAACTTGCCAGACAAGACAGGACAACATCAAACCACCAAAATCCATGGAGAAGCCACTCTGTAACTGCAAGAAAAGTGTGAACAGCTCCGAGACATATTGATGGCTCTGGGCACGGCTGCACACATCCTGGCCGAGAAGAACGCTTACAGGAGAGGACGACAATGAGAGAAACAAAACAACGAAATAAATATTTCTGTCTGCCGCCTGACCAAATGAGTAAAAACAGAGGGAAAATATATTCAAAGTAAAGTCTTTACTGGCCAAACACTCACAGTCACAGTCTAACTTCTAAGTAGCAGTACATGTCCACATACTGGTGGCAGAGAGGGGTGGATTTCATTGAAAGAATTCAATACTGATGAATGTATTCTGAAATAGGGGGCCTACTGGAGAACTGGCATTTGTGGTGTAACGCTTTGGCTCCTCACTGTTCTGCAAGGAAGGGGTGAGCTCAGTTCCTGAGTGGGGAGGTTTTTCATTGAATACCTTTGTCCATCTCCAAGGACTTTGTATCCCTCTCATCCTGGTATGGCCTTGATAGGCAGAGTCAAAGCAGCATACCTTCCAAATGACTTAAGCTGTGTCGATGGGGGTGTAAAAAAACTTTACTATAATTAATAGCAAAATGACTTGAGAACATCCATGAAGTCGAGAGATTTCGCCATGGTAACGTAACAGAAAATAGAGAGCGTACAGTACTGTGAAGATGCCTATGTCAGACATATAATACTCCCTTCAGCGCCATGCTTTTGTTTCTAAAAGTCACATAACAAAAAAGCAGAAAGCCAGAAACAATCCATACACATGTACATAATGATCTATATATATATGCCACAGGGGGCAGATCATCAGCTATCCACATCCATGTTCATGCTGCTAATGCCTGATTCGAGATCTCGGTTAACTGCAGCAGTGACTCCACTTCTGGGGATCCCCCGGCTGCTTCCATCTGACGAGTCCATTTCCATGGAGGTCATGGGCGTTACGGTTGCCATGGTGACAGCTGAGGAGGGTGCCACTGAGGCGACGGGTACAGTGAGGGGCGAGACAGTGGCCACCGCCGCCTCAGGGTGGGTTGACGTTAGACGAGCAGCGACAGCAGCTGTGGTGGCCTCAGAGAGCTGGCTGATGGGACGGCCGGAGCTGGGGAAGCCCTCCACCACGCCGCGCGGTCGGCCCGGGGGCGGTGTTACGCTGGCAGACGCTCTACCAGCCCGCGTGGCCGGGGTGTGGGTGCGAGGCATCACGGGCTGCGATGGAATCTTGTCCACCTTCCCGTAGTCAATGTGAAACGCAGGGGCCACCCATGCCCCGCAGGGACACTTCTCACCTGGCCAAAGTGAAATCAAAAAACAAAAATGGAACACCACTTCTGTTGATCCCCATAGAGACATCTTTAGTTTTAGGAAAAGTTTTACGGCACTTGCAACACAATAAGGTCATATAAGTGCCGAAGAATAGACGTGTTACAAGAGGGTAATATACACAAAAAAAGGAGGAGAGATAAGGACGATAGACGAAAGAATGAGCAAACCACACCAGAGCACCTGCCAACCAACCACTTGGAGAAATCTGCCTACATAGTTTACAATCAAACCTGCTTTACAGTCAAACATGCTCTATAAGTAGTCACCTGCCCAAGTCAATCACCAGTACAATCAACCACTTCCCAATTTGTTGGGTTTTTTTCTGTATAACGACATGGTCCACGACATTCACCTGTCCAAGACAATCAATTTTCTTCTCAACAACAGCTAGCTGCCTTGAACAATTTTGTTAGATATTTATTTGGATTTCAAATCACATAATGCCAACAAAAAAAATATTCTCCTCTCAGGTAATCACTTGAAAATACTATTGAGATATGATTCTTTTAAAAAAAGTAGATAATACATTTGGCACAAAAATTACTTTAGACGTGATCATATCTCAGTTTCATTGTGTACACAAAACTGGACACCTCTAAAAATGAATCATTTCCATAGAAAAAGAAAGCTTAATCAATGTTCAGTTCTGTTTGTTTTAGTTTTAGTACAGGTTTTACGGTGCTCGCAACTGCATAAGGTCATATGAGCACCAGAAGATTAGAGGTGTTACAAGCGAGTAACAAACATAAAAAAGAAGAAGGGGAGATAAGGGCGATAGATGTTTGATAGGAAAGAAGGAGCAAACCACACCAGAGCACCCGTCAACCACCCACAGAGAGAGAGAGAGAGAGAGAGACAGACAGACAGACAGACAGACAGACGCTTGCAACTGCATATAAGGTCATATGAGCGCCAAGGGGTGGATGTCAACAAAGAAGTCCATACAGGAAATCAGCCTTACTCTGCTCACCTCTCTAGCTTCAACAGCTCAAAGTCTGTTT